TCTCATCAGTCCAAATATGTCTAATAAAGTGGGAAAATGCATAAATAACGTTGCTTCGCCGTATAACACCTATTACGCGTCACCGCTAACAACCCGGAAATGTGGGCCGGTGTTGTGCCAAAAATCGACTAACTGCCAAATGGCAGCTGCGGGAGCATGCACGGGAGAACGTTAACAAGATTAACACTTAAAAACAACTGTTTGCTCGACATTATAGTAAAGGTGTGTCTCGGTTGAACTTTTACTTAATAAATGCACTTCAATGGTCAAATCAGCGTCATTTCGCCCGGTCAGCGCAGCGAAATGACGCTGATTTGACGGTTGCTCCAAGCAAGATGGACGAAGGGGGCTTGCTTCGGCAAGCCGATTGTGTCATTAATAGCCACTTTTACCTATTATCAATTACATGACACAACGACTTGCCATACTATTCGAGTGCCATCTAGCGGCTGAAAATGGTAGTGTTCAATATTTTCAGTCAGAATGAATGAAAACGGTTGTCTCACCTAAAAATTGCTTTAAATATTGAAAAAAATCCATAAATATGTTGCTTCAGCGTATTTGTTGCCGGGCATGTAAATTATGCAAAAAAACTGTGACTTATAGGGTGACAATGTAACATTATTTATCTAAGGTAGCCACCAAATTGTGTGGGGTCTTCATTTTGTTGCAGTCTCCCATCCCGAACAACATAATCTTCAAGAAGGGATTTTTTTTTATCTTTATTTCATTTACTTTGAATCTCGTTTTACTTAATGGTCAACACACACTGGTTTTTGCATTTTTCTTTCGTAATTTCTATAAATGCTTTGACTTTAGCTTTTTTGTGAATTGCGAATTTGAGCCCCTGCTTTTTGTTTCATGCAGCTCTGTGACTACCGTCGCAGTTAAAAATATTTTTTCTGCTCACTTAAGGGGTCACCACAGCCGATCGTCGGCCTCCATCTCACTCTATCCCGAGCATTCTCCATTTCTTAATCTGTTCATCATAAAAACAGCACAGTGCCGTGCAGTGGAGGTTGATCAGCCCTACCTTTGTTAATCTGTGTTAAAACGGGCTAATGGTTGGGCTTCGGCCATCGAGAGGCAAATTCACTCCCCCGTCCCATACTCTGCCACGGTTGTTTTTGTCCCGTTGCAGAGCAAACATGAGGATTTGGAAATCTCACCCGTACGTGAATGTTGTGAGCATAACAGTGAGGTAAACTTCCAGTTTGGTGTGTACATCATAACAAAAGTTCCTTTAAAAAATTGGGTTGCTGTGTCAAAATCCAAGATGACTGCCGGGATGTGTTGTAAAAAAACAACCAATATTCACTGTTCAGATCCCTCAGCGACAGGGGACGTTGAAGTACCGCTTGTTCTCATTTTATTGATTCCCACTGACCTGACATTTCTAAAATCCAAAGAATGTGGGTTTGAGAGCCGGTCGTGCTGTTCCCACATGGAGAGCAGGTCCAGCTGGGTAAATTTATGGCCCACCTTCTTTTGTCATGAATCCAGTTGCTTTGGTTGTTCCTCTTCCATGCTTCACAAATAAGATATGGTTCTTACACTGGAATACTGCTCTTATGTAAAGCAGGCAGCTCTCTCATTTGTCTGCAGAAACCTTCCCAGCAGCCTCAGGCTCCACGTGAAGGAGCTGAACTCTGTTGTTGTTTAGCCTTTGATGGTTTCATGTTTGTCTAAATAAACTGGTCGTCTTTTTACATCTAATTATCAGCCCACTGATTGAAAGGACCTAACTGTAAATTCATCTTTAAATTAACTCCTAGTTCTTTATTTGACCCTGTCGTATATCAGTGTACATCTTAGATCCTTATTACTGGTTCTCATACACTTTATATTGTTGCTATTGTTGGATGTAACTGGGACCCTGCGTGCACAATTTCGTTCCACCTCATGCACCACATGTGATGTGAATGACTAAAGAACCTTGAACCTTGAGATCTCATTGAGATTAAAAATGACTTTTTTAAGAGAGACTTGGCAAAGAACGGCATCACACAGACATTTATTATCATCTTTATTCGACTTTGTATCAAACACTTTTCTTATTGACTTGGTTTGTTTTCAAATCTTTTTTTTACCTCAGTTTTAGTTTTTATCGCCACTGCCAGCTTCTCTTATAGCTCTGCTTCCTAATGTTTTACTGATTTCCATGCTCGGTCTCCATCTTTGCCTTCCTCACCTGCAAGTGGTCAGATTGCTCCTACGTTTGAGGTTTTGTGTTTGCAACAAGCGCGGGACGACTAAGAGCTTTGCAGAGCTCTGCGAGCTGAATGATTTATGGAGCTCCTTGGCACAGACTCAGGCGACGGTGTTGGAGGGATGTTGGGTTTGTTAGTGGTTTTGGGTAATGAGTGCACTGAAATTATGATTTGTGTGCGTCTGCGTCTTACCTCGTGCTATGACTCTAATCACTGTAGATGAGCAGAAGTCACCATCTGTCTGCTGAATCATTTATTCAACCTCTGAACATCGCTCTTTAATTTTTAGAGCTTTGTCAGTACATTGTTTTGAGTTTGAGACATCTAGTGTCGGGATCGACGAACTAACAAGCTTTCAGCGTTTGAAATAACGTGTTACTTTTCCATTTCTAAACTGTTTTCCTTTTCTAGAACCTCTGTTTTGAAATAAAAGATGTCTGCCTTTCTTTAATTTTAGACCAAATTTATCTTATTCTGAGAATAGAATAATAATCTTCAGTTTTGGTGCAACATCTCATGCAGTGTTGCAAGGTGTCAAGTTCAAAGTATATGTTGCCATCGACTGTGAGCCACTGCCACGTAGACCTGTCACGATGACAAATTTTGCTGGGCGATTAATTGTCTCAGAAATTATTGCGATAAACGATAATATTGTTTGAAATTTGACAATAATTAGTAATTAATGTCAAATTGAAGAAGATTTATTTTCTATCTAAATTTGTTTTGTGTGTAGTACCTTTTTTTGACCACCGAATGACAGTATAAGACTGTTTGAACAAAGGATGGATACTGAGGGAGCGAGCAGCGTGTCTCTTCGAGAAAAATGGGAGGGAGGTCAGCCTGTTAGCTTAGCGCGTAGCTTAGCTTTTCAGCGTAGCTGCTTTTAATGGTCCAAAAACATAATTTTGGATGATTAAAACAGATTTTAAAGGTAGAAGAGAAAGGTAAAGTCGATAAATGAAAATGACATCGATAATTTTCATTTATCGTGCGATTAATTGACGTATTGTTTATTGCGACAGGACTTCTACCACATCAAATTTTAGCTCAAGATCTTCAAAACTGACTCAAGTGTAGACATTTTTGTGTTGGCTAACGTTGATTAGCTGTGGCAGCCATCTTGAATTGAATGACTCCAACTGAATTAGTTGTAGTTGGACATGCAATGATTACTTTCAGAACATTGAATAAAATTGTCAGTGATTCATAAGATATTTTGCTAACAGCCAGACAGTGTTGACTCCAGTTGTTATTCCCTTGCCTTCTACACGGTGTGAATTGTTTTGATCCAGTCTGTAGTCTACAGTGTTGTCCATTTAGTTATTATCCACTGTTATTTCAATGTATATTTTTATTTTATGTTTTCGTGTCCGCTGTGATTGTGTTTCTTTTGTACAGCACTTTGGTTTGCCTTGTTGCTGTTTTAGGTGCTCTATAAATAAATTGGTATGGTATAAGATAAGATAAAAACTTTATTGATCCTGCAGGAAATTGTTGTGCCAGAGTTTCAGTACAACGCAACATACCCAAGGAATCACACAAGATATAAAATAACGAGATTATAAATCAGGTCAGGTGCAGACAGAAACATTAAAGTGTTTATTGTGGTGCAGGGTTAATTTTATTGTCCTGTGTGTAGGAATGGGGAGGATTTGAAAAGTTTGAAGGACTTCCTGTGATGTTCTGTGGAGCACTTCGGTGGTCTCAGTCTACGACTGAAGGTGCTGCGGTCAGAGTCCAGTGTGTCGTGCTGGGGGTGTGACGTGTTGTTCAGGATCTGGAGCAGGTTCCTCAGCGTCCTCTGCTCAGACACCTCTGTCAGAGACTCCCAGAACTCTCTTGATGAGTTTATCGAGTAGGGATGCACCGAACCACTTTTTCCACTTCCGATACGTTACCGATATCTGAGGTTTGGTATCAGCCGATACGAGCCGATACCGATCTGATACAGAAAAAACAGTGCTGAATTCAGTTCAACGAACTCGGCGTGCTCTTTAGGGTGAACTCTCTGGAGATGCTTGATTAAGTTGGTAGTGTTATAGCTGGAAGTTTTAGTGCCACCCCTTGGAACCGTCGCTGTGCACGTATTGCACGTAGCTGTCGAATGTGCTGGCTGAGGTAGTGTGAAATAGTTCCAGGTGGCTGATCCTTTCGCTCGCTCCATTTTGAAAACAATCTGTGCGGTGAGTTCGCTGGCGTGTGATGTCACTCAGAGCACAAAGCGTAGAATTAGAGTGAATAGATCTGACCAGTCATGGTTTGGTCACATTGTCACGATACCCGATCTAAAAGTTTTTCCCGATATCGGGACCGATACCGATATTGGTATCGGATCGGTGCATCTCTAGCCTGTCGGCATCAGCTTTCTTCACCCTGCTGCCCCAGCACTCCACAGCGTAATGCTAAAGTTTTAAACAAAGGTGATGTGCAACATGTAGTACTTGAAGTACGTGTTGGGTGTGACTTTCATACATCATACCAAAGTTTATCTCGGTATCTGTAAAACTGGCTGGTTTATGTTGTTATTTTTGGCTGTGGCAGCCATATTGATGTGTTGTCTCCAAGAGGTAATCAACTGTAAAGATGTGTCCATTGATTACTTCCTGCAAGTTTCAATTAAATGTGCTCAGTGGTTCATAACATACTTAAAAAAAACAGAGAGACACACATGCAAATACATGATTGTCCAACTTTACCTTTCGAGGGTGGGAGATAATTATCTGTGACAAAATAGAGAAGACTTGAACCAGAAAGTATAAATGGAATTTATTTTGTGATTGTTTCTTCCAGGGAGTATAAAAGGAGCAACGATAGTGGACGCCCTGGACACCTTGTTTATCATGGAAATGTTTGACGAGTTCGATGCTGCCACAGAGTGGGTAGAGAAGAACCTCGACTTTAATGTGGTAAGTGTGCGTGTACTTGCAGTCATTTATTAGCCAAGTTGAAAGATTTAGCAGAAAGTCCTGGCGCTCGCCCACAAGCCACAATTCAGGCACTAAACACTGAAACACAGAACTCTGTAGTGCTGAGCATCCTTTCCAGACAAACGTCCATTTGGCACTTTAATCTGAACAAAAAAGCTTTAAATTCTCCTAAAACACTCAAAGCTTCAGAAAAACAGTTCACTTTCCATTTCAATGGAGAGTAGTAGGAATTAAAAGACTTCTTAAGAACACGTGCTTTTACTCAGGACAAGACGGCTGTTTACAGAAAAACAGACGGTTGTTTTTTGGCACGTTTAGTCGTCGTGCAGGAAAATAATCTGAAGTGTTTGCAAGTTAAACGCTGTAGATGTCACACTCGGTTTTACAGTTTTAACTTTAGTTGTTTTTTACCTGCACAGAAAAGACTTTCAAAGTTCCTTTAATGAGAATGTCAGATGAAGGTTGTTTAAATACACCATCAACAATGTAACGATAAAAAAACTAACATATTTGTCTTTTACAGTTGTGTAAAACTGAAGCTAAAATTATTTTATTTTTTTTGAGCTGTCATCTAGTCTGAACCAGGATCACAAACTTGAAACCTCGATACAAAAGTCTCACCTACACACGCTTCCAACTCGCTAACAGGCTGTCAATCACAGTGAAACAAATCTTTTTAAAGCTTCAAAACACTTAATAAAATGCAACTTATTCAAAAAAATAAATAAATCATATTTAAACATAAAGCAGCAAAGTAAGAACTAGGTAAATAAACAAAAATCAGCACCTAAAAAACATCTGTTTTATTTTTTTAATTGGAAAAATATTGGTTTACATGAAGGGGTGGGGCTTAAATCTTGTGCTCCCTCCAGCTTCGGAGGGGGTGTGGCTTCAGCTTCCGTCTTCCAGTCCTGTCTCTAGTTAGAATAAATCTCGATGGGTCACACCTGGAAACAGTCTTACAGCGGTGCACATTTCTAATAATTCTTTCATTTTGTGTTTAAAAAGTTGGTTGACATTTGTATCAGTACGTAGTAATCTTTGAAAAGTTTCCCCTCTACATAAAATTATAAATATTTAAAACACTTTTGATTTTGTAATTAATTAGGATGTAATAAAAATACATTAAAAAAAATTCAAACACTTAACACGTTTTGTTGGAAATATCGTCTTCAGTAACTCGAGATAAAACCGGGTGACGTTTTAAAGTTAAAAGAACCAAACGTCCAGGTTTTGAAAAGTTCTGCTGCTAACGGATTAGGATTAATTTATTCTGGTGAATTAAAAACAGTTTTCTGATGCAACACTTAGACTCTCAACATCCTGAACGAGTCGGTTCAAGAAAAAAAACAAACAAACAAACATTGAAATCAAGATATTTTTTGGACTCGGTCTTTATTACTTTGGACCGTTGTCAAAATAAAAAGTCACATGATGTCACATGGATCCACAGAGGATCAGTTATGGTTGACGTGTTGGAGTCGGCACATGTCACGAGTCGTGCATGCTTTTAGAAGAGAACAGGATGGATTTGTACTTTAATAGTTGTTTTTTTTTATGTTTGGTTCATCTTTTGTAGATCGGACATTTATTCTTTCTGACTTTATTCTATTATTTATTTTAAATGAAAACGTCACGGGGTTGTTTCAGTGTTTTTCTTGTTTAATTAACTTAGCGTTTGCGTACATGCTTTGTTTTTAAACGCGTCTTTGCATTTTTATTAAAAATGAGCGTCATCACCATTTAATGTTATAAAAATATACATTATGAGCACTCCAACATAAATATCTGTTGAGTGATGACTCTCAGCTACTACCACGCTAAAGTTTTGTTCAGTATCCATAGGAGTGACAGATTTATATCCACTTTTACATTTGGTAAAGTCACTTAACGCCGGCGGCCATTTTTAATTTGGTTGACGCCAAAAATTTAATTTTTGCAAATATATCTTTGATCATGTTTTGAGACTGAATACATTCTGTCCAGTGGTTCATGAGATATTTTGCTAACAAAAACAGACGAACGCACAGATTGCATTTAGTTACGTGGGTTTTCAAATTATTAAGAAACGGTTTTATCCATTTAAAATTTCATTAAATCTTCCGTGTTTCCTTTTCTTTATGAAAAGCCTGAATTAGCTCCCTGGTACGTTCAGGATGCTTTTGCGCTCAAAATGACAAATCTTTCATAACAACAAAGATGTTTTTTAATTTTTTTTACTGTGCTATGTGTGAAATGCATATTGGTTAAAGTCTTTGTAGGTAAAACTGAAGTGTATTCAGTTAATATTTATTTCTGTTTGGGCTAACGAGCTGAGTAACGTGCTCGTGATCGGTACATCAGCTCAAGCACCGACGAGTTGCACTTTTCCTTTGATGTTCGTCTTTTATTCTGGAGTCGTCCTCGTTATGAGAAAGAGCTTCTCATTGAGGGGAGGCAGAAAACATTTTGCTTTTATTCTAATCATGATTGAAAACGGTAAAACAAAATCAGTTTATCATCCAGTCTGAGCTAAAACGTAAAACCGAGATCGGCTGAATGCGATGAAAACATCGATTCTGGCGACCAAAGAATACCTTGAGCTCTGCTCTTTTATTTTGTCTTTATGCAAATTAAAAAGAAGCGTTTCTGAGGACCATTGCTGTCTGTGCAACCCTCCTGTTCAGAGTTTCCCTGCTGCCACTCAGATAACCCTGAATCAGCAGGGAATCCATTGTTTCCTGAGCTTTGCTGCTCGTTCTGCAGAATAAACTCAAATGTAGTTCACTGTACAGTTTTATTATTTAATCACAAAAACTGATGTTCAACAACCATCAGAAGAATCAATAATAATTTACATAATAAACATGACAACTTGTTATATTTCTACAATTTCATAAAAGTTGGGTACAATTTAAATTAAAACAGAATGCAGTGGTTTGCAAATTCTATAAATCTGTATTTTATTCGTAACGGACTTTGTAAATATGTCTCGGTCAGAGTTTCTTTATTGTCATTCACACCACGTGGTACATGTGGTGGAACAAGATTGTGTACGCTGGGTCCCAGTTACATCCCACAATAAAATGTAAAAGAAAAACAGTGATAACATCTAAGATATGAACTAAGAAAAACATTAAAAATATACTAAGCACTGTTGTTGTAGGTCTGTTGAAACAAACAAACAACAGTCTTTAGACCAAATCAAGTCTTTTTAAGTTTGATTGCAGCAACACAGCTCAAAGGTAGAGGCAGGCCACACTTCTCGTTCCCTGTTATTTTAACAACAGTTTGGAAACATTTAGAAACTGAAGAGACTGGTTGTTGGAGGTTTTGGAGAAAAATTTGTCCCAAGCTTAACGATCATGGGTTGGCTGCTTGATTTATTCTGTTGGCAGCACGGTGGATCAGTGGGTAGAGCTGTTGCCTCTCAGCGAGAAGGTTGCCAGTTCAAATCCGAGCTGGGGATCTTTCTAGGTGGAGTTCGCATGTTCTCTCCATGCGTGCTTGTTTTCTCCGGATCCTCCGGTTTCCTCCCACAGATCAAAAACCTGCATGTTAGGCTGATTGGTGACTCTAAATTGTCCCTAGGAGAGAGACAGACAGTGAATGGTTGTTTGTCTCTGTGTCCCTGTGATGGACTGGAGACCTGTCCAGGGTGCTCCCCGCCTGTATGGACACCAGTGACCCCCCCCCCCCCCTCCCCGTGCTACCCGAAAAGGAAGAAGCGGGTAAAGATGATGGATGAATGGATTGGAGCAGAGGTTGCTCTCAAACTTGTTTACAGTAGTCCCTCGTTTATCGTTGGTGATCCGTACCCGGAAGACCCGCGATAAGTGAAAAACCGAGAAGTAGGGATAGTAGTACAAGTAATAGAATTTTTTTTTTTATATATATATATATATATATATATATATATATATATATATGTATATATATATATGTATAAAGGCATTCTAAACCCTTCCCACACTCTTGCAATATTGTAAACAATGTTTCTAAACGCACTAAAAGAGCACAGCATGTCATGATTTCAGCTCCCTGCCTCGTCTGCTCTTTGCCACCTGCAAGCGCTCTTGGCCACGCCCACTTCTCCGTTCCGCACGGAGAACAGCCGATCAGCCGCAGCAAGACGCTTATCCTGCAGTGTGGGATGCGCAAACCTGCAGGAGGTACTAAATATTATAAAATAATTTATCTATCGTGCGGCTCGTCCATCAATCAGCCAAATGTTTGTCATGTCCAATCTTATTTTGAATTAATCTGCGATAAAGGAACCACGAAGTAGCGAGGGACTACTTTATACACTTTTCCTCTTTTTTAGACAGTTTTTTTTTTTTTTTCAGATTTACTTTACTTCTGATATTCAGCCTCTCTGTGAAGCTCTTTTTTTTTTAATCCAGTCTTCTTCCTGTCCTGATCCCAGTCGACCTAATTTGTTGCAAAATGCTCCTCCAGCTGTTTCTCATTCGTTCTTACTGTTACAGCCTTTTGTTCTCCCCGTGCTAACGTTTTTAAAGATGTGTTGCTGCCATCAAATTTAAAATCACCGTAGTTTTCCAAAAGGAATCTCTATTAATAAATATTTGGCAACCTGCTCTTGTACGCGCGTGTGGTCTGTAAGGGCCTAAACGTTGCAACAGTGGGAGACTTGACTCCTCGCCCGCCAGCTTTTTCTGGGGTGAAATGATGTCGGAGAGATGCTGACTCATGGGGCCATTGTCCTGCAGTTTAAAGCCGCGCTGGCTGCTGAAGTCCTTCGTGCACGTTGGTGCAGAGACACTGCAGGAAACTTTTCTAAAGTCAAACTCGGTTTTTATCTATATGAATATTATCCTCCTCTATTACAACAGCCTGAGTACGGTGGGGGAAAGAATGCCGTTTTAATCAAGACAAATTAACCACACAATCAGCTTGTTCACCGAGTCGTTCCTGCTTGGAAAATAAACGAGATGATTTGTTTGGCACGTAATTTGTTTTCCCGCCGCCCAGCCCATCGCAGTATCTCTGTTTGGCAGCAGCGACTTGCGAAAGCTGTCAGTCAAGCTGCAAAACTTCATCTGACTCGGAAATCCGTTCTCAAAAAACTTGTGCGCGACAGAGATAAACTCTATTGTTGCCCCTTAAACAAATAGCATGACAAAGTTTGAACTTTTTTAATTTAGATTAGCCTTTTTTTTTTTAAACATATTTGTCTCGAGGGATTGTATTTTTAATTATTGACTGTTTCCTCGTTCGAACAAATCGTTTTGTATCTGAAAATTTTAGGGAAATCTCAGTGCCCTGTTATCGGGCAGCTCGTGGTCAGTGCCGTGGTCTTATAATCTTAAGGCTGCAGGTTTGAGTCCAGGTTGTGTCAACGGTGCACAAAATCCTTTGAGCGTAGTTCTGTGGTGAACCCTAAGGAAAGGAGCAGCCGAAAGACAAACAAAAGCAGTACGCTTTAATTAGCTTCATATTGAACACGGGTGAGAATGACTCGAAATGTGTAACAATCTGAGTAGATGTTTTCTTTGTACAAATTCAAACCCACACTGGGACGCACATTTTTACATTGACAGCTCTTAAAGGAAACGATAAGTTCTCGCGTGCACGTGTTTTTGTTGTATTAACTAAATATTTAATAAAGTTTAAACAAAAACTTTCATAAAGGCTGCTACAGGTTGTAACCTTAGCAAACAAAGAAAAAGGTTTAAATTTGTCAGTTTTACAAACGTTGAGCTCAAACTGGGTGTCGAAATAGCTGAGAGTCTTTTAAGTATTCCAACAGATCGCATGATGTGTCACAGTCTCACTAGGCCTGTCGCGATAAACAATAAATCAATTAATCTCATGATAAATGAAAATGATCGACCTCATTTTCATTTATCAGCTTGATCGTTTCTTCGTGTCTCTTTCTACTGAAGACACTGGATGAAAAAAGATCAACTCCGGTGATCTTCACTGACCCCTCCCTTTCTCTTTTCTCTTTAAAATCAGTTTTAACGTTCCAAAATCGTGTTTTTGGATCGTTAAAAGCAGCTCAGCTGAGAGGCTAAGCTACGAGCTAAGCTAACATTCCGACCTCGGGTGAAAAACCCTCCGTCTTGTCGAAGCTCCAAAATTCACGGTTGAAACCTGTGCCTTTCTGTAAACAGTTGTTTTATCTCTGCAGAAGCTGAGAACTTGTTTACTGATTTAAAAAAAAAAAAAAAAAAATTTAATTAAAAGCTTTGTGTGGAAAATGCTATGCTAAAGAGCTCAAACCAAATTGAGCGTCCGCCGTTATGAGAATCGAAAAACAGGAAGGAGAGACGGCCCATGTCACGTCAAGGGGCCTCCCTCTCCTTTTTCTTAAAGAGATGCGCTACTCGCTCTCTCACTATCCATCCTTCGGTTCAAACTGTCTTATACTGCCATCCAGTGGTCAAAAGAGGTATTACACCCACAAAAATCAATCAACATTTCTTCTTAAATTTGACAATAATTACTAATTATTGTCAAATTTCAAACAATATTATCGTTTATCTCAATAATTTCTGAGCCAGTTAATCGCCCAGCAAAATTTGTGACAGGCCTAAATTTCACTTTTCAAGGTTTGACCAAAACGTAAGATTGTTTTTGCTTAAAACTGCTATGAAAGGTGACATGTGATGTGCATTTCTTCAAGCATGCTTGTCCTGTAAGTAGGTACCAGTCTATCTGTGTCATACCACTAAAATAGTATTCTGACTGGGTTATTCCGTGCATTTCTCAGCTCCAGTTCAAATTGGCAGGACTGGAAACGTAACCTGTGAAAATTTTACTGAATCTGCTGCATTTTAAGTAACAGACACAGGAGCTTGATGGTCACTTCAAGTCCTCTGATAAACTCCTGCCCACTAGTCAGAAATAATATGCCATTTCTCCCATAAAGTCATGTCTATAAGGAATATTTAGACGTTCTTCTCCCCAGTTGTCATCTGCAGGCTCAGCTCTAAGGAGCAACATTTAAGATGTATTGACCCGGTGCTGTCAGGGCAACATTGCCTCTGGCTGTGGAAAAGCAATCAATTGCTTAATTTTTATTATTTCCATGTGGTAAAAATAAAACGGCAGACCTGTGATTTATCCGAGTACGAGAACTGCTTTAAGAGTCTAACTTGATCACTGCAGGAATATGAACACAATCTGACATTATGCTCCGGGTTTATTTTTATTTTCAGGTTTTATCTGCTTTGGTTGAGGGGAACATGTTCCCGTTCTTTAGTCTTTGGTTTTAGACCAATTAAATCGTCACTAGATAAAATGTTAGCTGGTAACAAAATGATAAATCTAAAAATTGTACAGAAGGAGCAGAATTTATTACCGATCGATATGTGTCTGATTCAGGGTAAAGGGTCTCGGAGGGCCCTTTGTGTCGAGTAACATGATTACATGAGAGCCCCAGAAATATTTCACTCTAGTCAGGATTAATGGAGCAACCAACTCTTATTCCCATCTTGGGACTTGTGCTACTACTTCAGCTAAAAATTACATCAAATATAAATTGTCTTTATAATTAGACACAAAGCAAGTTCAAAATGTATAAAACTTCATATTCACTGGTGGTATTTAAACATTGGGAAGCCTTTAACATGGTATTCATTTAAAAAACAGCATCAGAAAAACAATGTTCATTTCACAGGCAGTACTTAAACGTTTGTTCAGAAACGTCTGACCTCTCAGACTCTTCCTCCCTGAGGAACTCCTCAGTGACGAGTCATTTGTTTTCAGACAGCAGCAGGAGAAATGCGTAATAATGAGCTCATGGTTTTTTCTTTTGTTTTTGCTGTAGAATGCAGAAATATCTGTGTTTGAGGTGAACATCAGATTTGTTGGAGGTCTGCTGTCTGCCTACTACCTGTCTGGAAAAGAGGTAAGCAGCTTCCTGTTGTGTTTTTTTTTTTCCTCACGCTGCCTCAGTTTGTTTGAGGCCGATTGATTTAACGGATCTTACGGACGACACGAAGAAAAGTGGAAATGGAGTAAATGCTTCCGTTTAATTTACTGACGTACAATATGATCAAGTATTGCTTGGAAAGGTCGAGTTTTGTTTTGAAACAAACCTCCTTAATGAACTATTCTTACATATGCATTGATAGGACGTTGTTTTAGAGCCTCTCAAAAGAAAAGAAAATTAATGAGGACTTTTGTTTTTTTGTTAATTTCTCAATTTTGTTATTGGTGAACCAGACGTGAACCCCAGTTTGACCCTGAATCCAGCTGCTCCATTTTTAATTACTAACATTATATTCCTTTCAGACCTTCACATTAAGCGTTTCAGACACATGCACCGAGTTTTGACTTTTTGAAGAATGCACAAAGTTCCTGCTGGTCAGGGCCGAGCATCCATTTTACTGAAGAACGATGTAGGCTGTTTTCACGCAGTCGACATGTTTAGAGACGGCACTAAGTCTTATAGACTTTTATTGTGAAGGATGGTAAGAGGTTCTGTTGGTTCCACTGCAGTGGCATGACAAACCACACCGTGGTCTGATTCAGGTAAGATGCAGCATGTTATTTTGTACTTAGCTCGCACTCATAACTCTTTAATAGTATAGTAAAAACCAAAACCGGTTCAGGAGCACGATGTGGTTCACTTCCTTTTTTCCTTCAACTTTTTCTGAATATTGCAACTTTATCTTCATCTTTATTGTGACTTTTGTCGAAATGTGGAGACAGACAAATGAGAGTAAGTGTTTTTAATGTATCAGGAACGTTGGGTCTTAAAAACGCCTCAGAACTCAAATGAGGAGACGTTTAAAATGATTGAAAAATTGTAATTTTACATTAGCTGAAAGGAAATGTCCCGAAGAGACCGACTGAATGTGAAGTCTGTCCTCTGGAGTTGCTTTATACAGAAATAAATATGGATATCGAGTGATGAGAATTTGCAGAATTTCTCTGCTTGCATGAATTAATTTACTGTAAAAAGCTTTAACAAAGAGATAATATCTTTACTTACAGTGCTCAGCAGAGATTGAGAGGTAAACTCGATTTTTGTTAATGGCACATCTTCTTTCTCTCATTAATTACAGGATTTACGCTCTTAATGAATAGCTCAGCAACTCAATAGACTGAATAACCCTGCAGATCGTTAAAAACCTGAATGCTTCTACTTGCAAAGTATAAAAAGATAAAGGGATATTCAAATGTCACTTTTTATGAGGTTATCCAATGACTTTTGACTTCCTGTAGTAGATTTAAGACACCAATGTTCGTATATCGCAGTCCTCGTGGAGAATGAACCAGAAGTTCGAGGCTAATTGCCTCTTTATTAGCAGAGGGAAATGGTGCAGGTTAAAGTCAGACCGAAAGCAAAAATAATTTCCAAGATCAGTGAACATTTGCCATTTCGACACATGCAAAACCTCGAGGAACACAATTTCCAGTGTCAAGTGATGGATGTAAGTATTGTGGCATAAACAGAGATGTAATAACACCAATAACAAACCATTCATCATTCAACAAACTGACTAAAGCTGCAAAATATTAAAATGAAAAGAAGTAAATGTAGCTTTACCACACAAGTACTGAACAAGTTCTACTTCAAGATAACAAAGTTATGGCTTTATGTTATTTTTATTCAAAAGTGAAAAGTCAAAGTTTTAAATGTGAATCAGTCATTTCAAAGATAAACATACTGAAATTTATTGTCTTATCCAAACCTTTTTATATCCTCCTAAAACCAATTCTTCAGTTCTTCTTTCAATAGTCTGATAAAATGATTTGAGCCTTTCTAACTTTTTTCTTGTAACTTTTTCAAGTTGAGGTAAAACATTCTGGCGCTCATTGCTGTGATTGTCTGGTCCATCTAGTAGAGCACATGTCTCCAACTCTAGGACTGAGGGCCAAATATGGCCCTTGCTAACATCGTATCCAGCCCCCAGTGTTTCCCCTACCATTATCCAAGGAGGGCGCCCCGCCCTGCCTACCAACCCCCCCCCCCCCCCCCCTCCACTCTGCCTTCACCGCTTCCGGACACGGACCGGAGATTAGCAGCTCAGCTCAGACTCCAAACTATGCGTAACACAAGCATAGCGCTCCACTATGCACGTTCATGCATTCTTTATTTATACAGGCTAGCCTCATTGAGCCACAAGGACTCGTTTACAACAGGGACCTGTTCCAGACAGAACATGTAAAGAAAATACAACAATAACAGTAAACAATGACAACAATGAACTACAGTAAAAATGCAGTTAAAATAAGAGTAGTGTCTAAAACAATAAATCCGTAAAACAGGGTGAAATACTAAAAACAAGAACGTATTTACTTTGACTTTTCTATTGACATTATCCAATGTTTGAAACCCCTTAAAGAAGTTAGGGACTGCTTAAAAACAACAAGGAGTCAGTTCGCCTTGTCTGCTGTACAATCGATAATTAGATGAAATTCAATTCGATCTAGATTTATAACATTTATTTGATTGTCACCTAAGTGAAGCATCCAGTTCTGAGCAGAAGTTTACCACATGCACAACAGTAAAGCTGATACAAGTTCAAGAATATTTCAAACAGATTGTGAGTAGTTGCAGTATTTTCTGAACATTTTAGGCATTCGAGAAGTTTAAACTCCAAAGGGTAGAGACTTTGACTTTGTTGTCGTCTTGACCCCTTAAACACATTATTAAAAGCATGTGGCCAAAAAAAAAAAAAAAAAATGAATCAAAGTCACTGTATGGCCTAAGGATTGTGTTTGGCTGAGTCCTTCAGGAGCAGCTTGGTTACATCTTTTCTTGGTTGAAGGTTCCTCAACAAGAGTTTTATCAGTATCATTTGATGTCCTTTGTTGCTCTTTCCACATCAAAATTAAAGATTAGTAACAATTTTTTTCTCTGCTTAAAAGTTGGCAAACTGCGGTATTTGAGAAGCTAGAGCTACGTTGATGCTGGCAGATGTGAATAGCGGAGCAGTATAGTGGAGCGGTACGTTTGTATTCCATGCTAGCTTAGCGCTACGTTGGTGCTGGCAGTTGTCAGTGCAAACAAAAAGCCTTTTCCTACTCAGCTCCTGTATCCTGGAACACCTTACAAGAAGAACTGAAGTGGTCCACCCTAACTGAATGAAAGGACGTAAGGCTGAAACGCTGCTGTGTGTGTGTGTGTGTGTGTGTGTGTGTGTGTGTGTGTGTGTGTGT